AATTATCTTATTACGTTTTATTTTCATCATTTTATTACTTCCCTTCCACGCGACTTTACCGAAACAACCAAGAAGAAGAGGGGCCGTCGGTGTCGTCGCTAAATCATCGGCGTCTCCCCCCCCCCCATATCCCCCTTCCCTTCTTCCCCGTCCCCCCAACCCTCCCCGTCAACGCGGCGGTACCTGTGCGGACGCCTTGCGTAGCCGCTCGTTGGAGAGCTCCGTGGCTCCCTGCTCCTCCTCCAGCTCCTCCTCCAGCTGCGAGATCCTCGCCTCCAAGCGCCGCTTGTCATCCATCATGGCCGACCTGCCGCCACCACCGCCACCGCCGCCGCACGCAGGGAGACAAACGCCGTGGCCGTTGGTGATTGTTTTTTACCCTTCTATCTGGCAACAAAACTGACACCTTTTTTACCAGAGGTCACAATCGGGTACCCGATATCCTACCCGATACCCGTACCCTACCCGATACCCGTACCCTACCCGATACCCGTACCCTACCCGATACCCGTACCCATACCCGATACCCGTACCCTACCCGATTCCCGTACCCTACCCGATACCCGTACCCTACCCGATACCCGTACCCTACCCGATACCCGTACCCTACCCGATACCTGTACCCTACCCGTACCCTACCCGATACCCGTACCCTACCCGATACCCGTACCCTACCCGATACCCGTACCCGATACCCGTACCCGATACCCGTACCCTACCCGATTCCCGTACCCTACCCGATACCCGTACCCGATACCCGTAGCCGATACCCGATACCCGTACCCTACCCGATTCCCGTACCCTACCCGATACCCGTACCCTACCCGATACCCGTACCCTACCCGATACCCATACCCTATACCCGTACCCGATATCCGTACCCTACCCGATACCCGTACCCGTACCCATAGACCACAATACCTGCAGTCATAATGCAAACAAAAAAACATAACTCTGATAATGTATGTGCACTGTCCTTAGAAAAGGTGTCAGTTTTGTTGCCAGATAGAAGGGTAAAAAAACAATTATCATATTTTTTACTGGCAAATGAGGTTCCAATGGTGTAAATGCTTAACCCCGAGCTCTCATACTCTGATGGTGCATTGTCTTTGAGTTGGCGTCATCTGGTCCAACACCATATGAGACTAGGCTCTAAGGAAAGCTGTCTCGGGTGTGGACCAATCAACTTCAAGGACAGTGCATACATTATCAGAGTAATGTTTTTTTGTTTGTATTATGACTGCAGGCTTTGTGGTCTATGCAAACATGACTCCTTGTAAAAAAGGTGTCAGTTTTGTTGCCAGATAGAAGGGTAAAAAATCAATTATCATATTTTTTACTGGCAAATGAGGTTCCAATGGTGTAACCGTGGCCGTTGGCGAGTGCGAGGAGGTAAGAGGGCGCCGGCCGCGGGCTTGGTGGTGCAGGGGCAGGAAGGAGGTGGAGGAGAGGGGGAGGGTTGGGGCTGTCGCAGGGCGGTAGGGGATGCTGTGTCACACACTCACTTGCCGCTCGTGTTCCCCGCGATCTCCTCGGCCAGGTCGTCTCTCTCCTGCTCCACGGTGCGGCGCGCTCGCTCAGCCGCCGCCAACTCCTGCAGATAATAACAACAACAACAACAACAATAAACAACAACAACAACAATAAACAACAACAACAACAACTTTTGATTTAAAGCTTCTTTCGTGACTGCAGGGATTCATCTTCTTGGTTCTTTCGGTAAAGTCGTCACGTAGAAGGGAAATAATACAATAATAAAAATAAAACATATTAAAATAATTCTCACGACGTTTCGTCCACAACGCAAGCAGCCGTCCTCAGGTGAAGAACAGGTCATCAGACGCTGTCTTCCCGACAGGTCATCAGACGCTGTCTTCCCGATAGACCTGTTCTTCACCTGAGGACGGCTACTTGCGTTGTGGCCGAAACGTCGTGAGAATTATTTTATTATGTTAAATATTTTTATTATTTTATTATTTCCCTTCTACGCAACTTTACCGAAAGAACCAAGAAGAACAACAACAACAACGACGACGAGACAACGACAATAGCACGGGTCGTGCACGACTGGGGAACGGGGCGGTGGGGCGTTGACTCGGTAACCCTTTTCCCACTGCCGCACCCACCGTGCCACCACGAGGGAGTGTCACGGCCACCCCAGGACTACTCCAGCCACACCGGGACTACTACGTCACCCTGGGACTACTCCAGCCACCCCGTGACTACTACGTCACCCCGGGACTACTACGTCACCCTGGGACTACTCCGGCCACACCGGGACTACTACGTCACCCCGGGACGACTCCGGCCACACCGGGACTACTACGTCACCCTGGGACTACTCCGGCCACCCCGGGACGACTCCGGCCACCCCGGGACTACTACGTCACCCCGGACGACTCCGGCCACCCCGGGACTACTACGTCACCCTGGGACTACTCCAGCCACCCCGTGACTACTACGTCACCCCGGGACTACTACGTCACCCTGGGACTACTCCGGCCACACCGGGACTACTACGTCACCCCGGGACGACTCCGGCCACACCGGGACTACTACGTCACCCTGGGATTACTCCGGCCACCCCGGGACGACTCCGGCCACCCCGGGACTACTACGTCACCCTGGGACTACTCCGGCCACACCGGGACGACTCCGGCCACACCGGGACTATTACGTCACCCTGGGACTACTCCGGCCACCCCGGGACTACTCCGGCCACCCCGGGACTACTCCGGTCACCCCGGGACTACTCCGGCCACCCCGGGACGACTCCGGCCACACCGGGACTACTACGTCACCCTGGGACTACTCCGGCCACCCCGGGACGACTCCGGCCACCCCGGGACGACTCCGGCCACACCGGGACTACTACGTCACCCTGGGACTACTCCGGCCACCCCGGGACTACTCCGGCCACCCCGGGACGACTCCGGCCACACCGGGACTACTACGTCACCCTGGGACTACTCCAGCCACCCCGGGACGACTCCGGCCACACCGGGACTGGTCCCGCGGCCTGGGCTGGTTGGCGCACCTCCTGCAGGTGCAGCAGCTGCGTCTCCAGGTTCTTCATCTTCTTCTCCTTCTCGCGAGCCTGCGCCGCCACCTCCTCGCGCGAGCTGTGAGCCTCCTCCGCCTCCCGCTGCACGTCCTTCAGCTGGGCCTGCGGGGGGAAGGGGGAGGGGGGGGGAGGGGAGGGGGGAGGGGGGGGTAGGGGGGAGGGGAGGGGGGGAGGGGGGAGAGGAGAGGGGGGAGGGGAGGGGGGAGAGGGGGGAGAGGGGAGAGGGTTAGGGAAGGAGGGGAGGAGGGAGAAGGGAGGAGGGGAGGAGGGAGGGGGAGGAGATTCATGGAGGGAGGTAGGGAGGGAGCGGGGGACGGGAGGTAGAATGAACGAGATTGAGGGAGGGGAGGAGGGAGGGGTGGGAGAGAGTGTGAGAGGGATAGAGATGGAGGGAGTAGAGGGAGGGGAGGGAGGCGTGTGAGAGGCGTGAGAGGCGTCGAGGCGGAGGAAGCGACACACCGGAGCGCGCTAGCACTCGCCACCACGACCCGGCGCGTCGCCCCCGCCCGCCACGGCACAGGCCGCCCGCCACGGCACGGCAGGCCGCAGCGCCTCACCTGCAGCTTGCGCAGCTGCTTGACCGCCTCCTCGCGGGCCTTGCTGGAGGCGTCCAGCTGCCCCTCCATGTCCGCCAGGTCTCCCTCCAGCTTCTTCCGCGCGCCGCCCGCCGCCGCCCGCTGCTTGCGCTCGTCCTCCAGCTCCGACTCGAGCTCCCGCACCTTGCCGGGGGGGGGGGGGGGGGGGGGGGGGACACGGAGGTCAGGGAGACGTCTCGGTACCGGCGAGGATTGGGTTTCTCAAGTGCGGCGAGTCGATGGGTCTCTCACGCGGAGGCACGTAGACTGATGTGGAGACCCATAGACTCACACAGAGACCCATAGACTCACACAGAGACCCGTAGACTCACGTAGAGACCCATAGACTCACGTAGAGACCCATATACTCACGTAGAGACCCATAGACTCACGTAGAGACCAATAGACTCACATAGAGACCCATAGATTCATGTGAAGACCCATAGACTCACACAGAGACCCATAGACTCACGTAGAGAGTGTCCGAGCGCGACCCTCACCTGCTTGGCGAGCGTGCGTGAGTTCGTGCGTGAGTTCACGAGTGAATTCGTGAGTGAGTTCGCGAGTGAATTCGTGCGTGAGTTCGTGAGTGAATTCGCGAGCGACCCTCACCTGCTTGGCGAGCGTGCGTGAGTTCGTGCGTGAGTTCACGAGTGAATTCGTGAGTGAGTTCGCGAGTGAATTCGTGCGTGAGTTCGTGAGTGAATTCGCGAGCGACCCTCACCTGCTTGGCGAGCGTGCGTGAGTTCGTGCGTGAGTTCACGAGTGAATTCGTGAGTGAGTTCGCGAGTGAATTCGTGCGTGAGTTCGTGAGTGAATTCGCGAGCGACCCTCACCTGCTTGGCGAGCGTGCGTGAGTTCGTGCGTGAGTTCACGAGTGAATTCGTGAGTGAGTTCGCGAGTGAGTTCGTGAGGGAGTTCGTGAGTGAATTCGTGAGTGAATTCGTGAGTGAATTCGCGAGCGCCCCTCAACTGCTTGGCGAGCGTGCGTGAGTTCGCGAGTGAGTTCGCGAGTGAGTTCGCGAGCGACCCTCACCTGCTTGGCGAGCGTGCGTGAGTTCGTGCGTGAGTTCACGAGTGAGTTCGTGCGTGAGTTCGCGAGCGACCCTCACCTGCTTGGCGAGCGTGCGTGAGTTCGTGAGTGAATTTGTGAGTTCGTGAGTGAATTCGTGAGTGATTTCGTGATTGCCCCTCACCTGCTTGGCGAGCGTGTGTGAGTTCACGAGTGAATTCGTGAGTGAGTTCGCGAGCGACCCTCACCTGCTTGGCGAGCATGCGTGAGTTCGTGCGTGAGTTCATGAGTGAGTTCGTGCGTGAGTTCGCGAGCGACCCTCACCTGCTTGGCGAGCGTGCGCGCCTTCTCCTCGTTGCTCTCGTCGCGCTGCTGCAGGTCGCGCTCGAACTGCGCCCGCAGCGCCTGCAGCGTCACCTCCAGCCGCAGCTTGGCGTCCTCCGTGGCCTGCAGCTCGTCCTCCAGCTCCTCCAGCTGCGTCTTCATCTCGCCCACCTGCTGCTCCAGCGCACGCTTCGACTTCTCCAGCTCGTGCACCTGAAGGCGCCGGCGCGGCCGCAGGCGGAGACCGGGGCACGCGCGGTGAGCGAACGCCGCTACCAACGCGGGCAACGCCGCCGTCACCACCGCTGCTGCTGCCATCACCACGGCCACCACCACTACCAACACGACCACCGCCACCATCACCACCACCGCTGCCATCACCACCGCCACCACCACAACCACGGCCACCGCCACCATCACCGCCACCACTGCCACCACCACGGCCACGACCACAGCCACCACCACCAACACGACCATTGCCACCATCACCACCGCTGCTACTACCACGGCCACCAACATAGCCACCACCACCAACACGACGACCACCGCCACCACCATCACCACCACCGCTGCCACCACCACGGCCACCACCACAGCCGACACCAACACCAACACGACCACCACCACCGCCACCATCACCGCCACCATCACCACCACAGCAGCCACCACCACCGTCACAGCCACTGCTTCACCCTCCTCTCTGCATCTTCGGTCTCTTTCTCGTTCTGAGTTTGGTAACCACTGACCCCCCCCACCGGGTTAAATTGACTAGAGGGAGCGCAACCACATTTTGCCACCACCCTCCGACCTTCACCTTGGACTAACAGGAGGGCGAGTGAGTAGAACAATGGACAATGGCTGGGCGAGTGGTTAGAACAATGGATACACGGGTCGGCGAGTGGGCAGAACAATGGACCAATGGGTGGGCGAGTGGGTAGAACAATAGACAAATGGGTTGGCGAGTGATTAGAACAATGGACTAACAGGAGGGCGAGTGGGTAGAACAATGGACAATGGGTGGGTGAGTGGGCAGAACAATGGACCAATGGGTGGGCGAGTGGTTAGAACAATGAACCCAGGGTGGGCGAGTGGGTAGAACAATGGACACACCGGTGGGCTAGTGGGTAGAACAATGGACCAATAGGTGGGAAAGTGATCAGAACAATGGACAAATGGGTGAACTAGTGGTTAGAACAATGGACACACGGGTGGGCTAGTGGGTAGAACAATGGACAATGGGTGGACGAGTGGGTTGAACAATGGACAATGGGTGGGCTAGTGGGTAGAACAATAGAACAATGGGTGGGGGAGTAGACAGAACAATGGACAAATGGGTGGGCTAATGGGTAGAACAATGGACCAATGGTTGGACGAGCGACAAGCAGAACAATGTACAAACGGGAGAGTTGGAGGACCAGATAGATCTGTGGGCGGGGCATTGACACGGGTGACACAAGCACACGGGTGACACAAGCACGCGCGACCCATTGAACGGTCGAGCGGGCGAGTGGGCGGGTGACTCTCACGCTCTTGCCGACGTCGTCCTTGGAGCTGACGAGGTCGTCCATCTCGGCGCGCAGGGAGCGGTTGGCCTTCTCGAGGTCGTCGCGGGCGGACGACGCCTCGTCGAGTTCGCGGGCGAGCGACAGCGCCCGGGTCTCCCGCTCGCGAGCCTCCGCCTCGGCGCGGTCGCGCTCGTCCGCGTAGCGCGACGACACCGCCTTCTCCTCCGCCAGCATCTGCCGGTGTGGGGTGGGTGGTGGGGTGGGTGGGTGGGGAGGGGGGAGGGGAGTGAGCATTAGTTTGCGATTATAGGCGTCATCGTCAGCTGTGTGCCAACCGCCGATCGATCGATTGGTGGAGGTCGGTGTCCATTGGATCACCATCACAACCATCCATTGCACCATCATCACCACCGCCACCATCATCACCATCATCACTGCCATCACAACCATCCATTGCACCACCATCACCACCACCATCATAACCATCATCACTGTCATCATCGGCGTCCATTGGATCACCATCACAACCATCCATTGCACCATCATCACCACCGCCACCATCATCACCATCATCACTGCCATCACAACCATCCATTGCACCACCATCACCACCACCACCACCACCAAAATCATCACCATCATCACCGCCATCATTGGCGTCCATTTGACCACCATCACAACCATCCATTGCACCACCATCACCACCACCACCATCATCACCATCATCACCATCATCACTGCCATCATTGGCATCCATTGGACCACCATCACAACCATTCATTGCACCACCACCACCACCATCATCACCACCACCACCATCACCACTACCACCACCAACCACCATCCATTGCACCACCGCCACCACCACCATCACCACCACCACTACCACCACCAACCACCACCAACCACCATCCATCGCACCAACACCGCCATCCGCCGCACACCTCGCCGGCGGCTGCGTGCGTGCGTGTGTGCGTGTGTGTGTGTGCGTGAGTGCGTGCGTGCGTGCGTGCGTGTGTGCGTGCGTGCGTGCGTGTGTGCGTGCGTGCGCGCGACGCACCTGGTCGAACTTCTTCTGCTTCTTCTCCAGCGTGGCCACCACCTGCCGCTGGTGGTCCAAGTCCATGACGACGTCCTCCAGCTCCTGCTGCAGGCGGTTGCGCGTCTTGTCGGACTTGTCGCAGGCCGCCGTTTTCTCCTCCAGGCTCTGGGTCAGCACCTCCACCTCCTTGGCCATCTTGCGCCTCGACTCCTCGAGCATCTCCTGGGCCGCGCCGGCCTCCTCCAGGCGACGCTTCGAGTCCGACAGCTGACAGGCGAAGACAAAGACAAAGGTGCTGGGCTCACACCCTACATACTCACTCACCCACTCACCCATTCACCCACTCACCCACTCACCCACTCACCCACTCACCCACTCACCCATTCACCCACTAACCCATTCACCCACTAACCCACTCACCCACTCACCCATTCACCCACTAACCCATTCACCCATTCACCCACTCACCCACTCACCCACTAACCCACTCACCCATTCACCCACTCACCCACTCACCCACTAACCCACTCACCCACTCACCCATTCACCCACTCACCGACTAACCCACTCACCCATTCACCCACTCACCCACTCACCCACTAACCCACTCACCCACTCACCGACTAACCCATTCACCCACTCACCCACTAACCCACTCACCCACTCACCCACTCACTCACTCACCCACTCTCCTAATAACCCACTCACCCACTCACCCACTCACCCACTAACCCACTCACCCACTCACCCACTCACCCACTCACCCACTCACCCTCTAACCCACTCACCCACTAACCCACTCACCCACTAACCCACTCACCCACTCACCCACTAACCCACTCACCCACTCACCCACTCACCCTCTAACCCACTCACCCACTCACCCACTCACCCACACACCCACTCACCCACTCACCCACTAACCCACTCACCACTCACCCACTAACCCACTCACCCACTCACCCACTCACCCACTCACCCACTCACCCACTCACCCACTCACCCACTTACCCACTAACCCACTCACACCACTCACCGACTAACCATTCACCCACTCACCCACTAACCCACTCACCCACTCACCCACTCACCGACTAACCCACTCACCCATTCACCCACTCACCCACTCACCCACTAACCCACTCACCCACTCACCGACTAACCCATTCACCCACTCACCCACTCACCCATTCACCCACTCACCCACTCACCCATTCACCCACTCACCCACTCACCCACTAACCCATTCACCCACTCACCCACTCACCCATTCACTCACCCATTCACCCACCCACCCACCCACCCATTCACCCACTCACCCACTCACCCACTAACCCATTCACCCACTCACCCACTCACCCATTCACCCACTCACCCACTCACCCCACTCACCCACTAACCCACTCACCCACTCACCCACTCACTCACTCACCCACTCTCCTAATAACCCATTCACCCACTAACCCACTCACCCACTCACCCATTCACCCACTCACCCACTAACCCACTCACCCACTAACCCACTCACCCACTCACCCACTCACCCACTAACCCACTCACCCACTCACCCACTCACCCATTCACCCACTCACCCACTCACCCACTAACCCACTCACCCACTCACCGACTAAACCCATTCACCCACTCACCCACTAACCCACTCACCCACTCACCCACTCACCCACAAACCCACTCACCCACTAACCCACTCTCCTAATAACCCATTCACCCACTCACCCACTCACCCATTCACCCACTCACCCACTCACCCACTAACCCACTCACCCACTCACCCACTCACCCACTAACCCACTCACCCACTAACCCACTCACCCTCACCCTGAGTAGCCTATGCAGACTCGTTGGGGCAAGTGCCACTGTGGCGTACAAAGGGGGGGGGGGCAGCACCCGCGCCCGGCCGCCTTTGTCTCCCCCCGAGCGGCGATGTTTGCCAAACACCGCACCGGCTACTCACTCGAGGCCGAGTCGACCTAGGGGAGGCCCAGCACCGGTACTGATAACCGTCGCCGGTGCTGGCCGTGAAGTGTGCTAACGGCTACACTAGCGCTCTCGCACTCACGTACTCACAAAGACAAAGACCCCCCGCATAGCCCTAACAGATTTTTGGGCCAAGTGCTGTTAGCGAGTAGCACCTATGAAGTCCGGAACGACATGGAAAGGGGGGGGGGAGGTGTGGATAGCCAGCGCCACGCCCGGCCGCCTTTGTCTCCCACAAGCGGCGATGTTTGCCAAACACCGCACCGGCTACTCATTTGAGGCTGAAGCGACCAAGGGGAGGCCCAAGACCGGTCCAGATGATAGTAACTGGTGTCGGGCATGGGCGGGAATCGAACTGGGGCCGCCGGGTTCGCAGCGCAGCGCGCTAACCGCTGCGCCACCGCTCCCCGACAGCTGAACGTGCGTTCGAACGCACGTCCATGCGAGCGCACAAAGGCAAAGGTTCCCCCAGGTGGCCTACACGGGCTGTTGGGGCAAGTGCTGTTAGGGGACACTAAGTTCTGTCCCTGGCTTGGGGGGGCTCACGTATCGGTGCTCTGAGCCAGAGCAAGTTCTAATCCGAGTGAAGGTGTCCAATGTGTTGGTAGTGGTTTAAATCCAAGTTCGATCCCTGGTCCAGGTGTCTCATGAACTGACTCTGAGCCAGAGACACTAAAACTCTAAGTGCAATCCCTGACCCAGGTGTCCCGTGTATCAGTGCTCTGAGCCAGTGACTCTGTGCTCTGAGCCGGTGACTGCAAACCTCTAAGTTCAATCCCTGACCCAGGTGTCCCGTGTATCAGTGCTCTGACTGCAAATCTCTAAGTTCAATCCCTGACCCAGGTGTCCCATGTATCAGTGCTCTGACTGCAAATCTCTAAGTTCAATCCCTGACCCAGGTGTCCCCATGTATCAGTGCTCTGACTGCAAATCTCTAAGTTCAATCCCTGACCCAGGTGTCCCATGTATCAGTGCTCTGACTGCAAATCTCTAAGTTCAATCCCTGACCCAGGTGTCCCATGTATCAGTGCTCTGACTGCAAATCTCTAAGTTCAATCCCTGACCCAGGTGTCCCCATGTATCAGTGCTCTGACTGCAAATCTCTAAGTTCAATCCCTGACCCAGGTGTCCCATGTATCAGTGCTCTGACTGCAAATCTCTAAGTTCAATCCCTGACCCAGGTGTCCCATGTATCAGTGCTCTGACTGCAAATCTCTAAGTTCAATCCCTGACCCAGGTGTCCCATGTATCAGTGCTCTGACTGCAAATCTCTAAGTTCAATCTCTGACCCAGGTGTCCCATGTATCAGTGCTCTCACTGCAAATCTCTAAGTTCAATCTCTGACCCAGGTGTCCCATGTATCAGTGCTCTCACTGCAAATCTCTAAGTTCAATCTCTGACCCAGGTGTCCCATGTATCAGTGCTCTGACTGCAAATCTCTAAGTTCAATCTCTGACCCAGGTGTCCCATGTATCAGTGCTCTCACTGCAAATCTCTAAGTTCAATCTCTGACCCAGGTGTCCCATGTATCAGTGCTCTGACTGCAAATCTCTAAGTTCAATCCCTGACCCAGGTGTCCCATGCATCCGCGCTCCGAGCAAGTGACCGTGACCTACCCATGTTGACCTCCCCCCCGCCCCCGCCCCCGCCTGCCCTGGCCGTGCGCCCACCTGCAGCGTGATGGAGGAGAGCTGCTTCTCCGTGGCTCTGCGTGCCTCCTCCTCGTCCTCCAGCTGCTCGGCAAGGCCGGCCTTCTCCTCCTCCAGCTGGCGCGCCTTGCTGCTCAGCTGCAGCTTCTGACGCGTCTCCTCCTGGAGCAGCTCCTGCGCTCAGCGGGGAGACCGTGGATCAAGACGTCAGCCCGACGTCGGTGTGTGTTGTGCACGCTCGTGCGTGTGTGTGCGTGTGTGTGTTGTGTGTGTGTGTGTTGTGTGTGTGCGTGTGTTGTGTGCGTGTTGTGTTGTGGTGTGTGTGTGTGTTGTGGTGTGTGCGTGTGTGTGTGCGTGTGTGTTGTGTGCGTGTGTGTGTGTGTGTGTGCGTGTGTGTGTGTGTTGTGTTGTGTGTGTGTGTGTGTTGTGGTGTGTGCGTGTGTGTGCGTGTGTGCGTGTGTGTGTGTGCGTGTGTGTGCATGTGTGTGTGTGTGTGTGCGTGTGCGTGTGTGTGCGTGTGTGCGTGTGTGCGTGCGTGTGTGCGTGCGTGTGCGCGTGTGTGCGTGTGTGCGTGTGTGCGTGTGTGCGTGTGTGCGTGCGTGTGTGCGTGCGTGCGTGTGCGAGCGTGTGTGTGTGTGCGTGTGTGCGTGTGTGCGTGCGTGTGTGTGTGCGTGCTGTGCGTGCGTGTGTGTGTGCGTGTGTGTGTGTGTGCGTGCGTGCGCGCGTGTGCGTGTGCCCCACCTGGGTGTCCTGCAGCTGCGTCTGGATGCTCGCCACGTCCTTGGACAGCTTGAGCACCTTGGTCTCCGTCTGGGTCACGATGGACGTCACGTTGTCCAGCTCCACCTGTCAGCGTCGCCACGGGGGTGCGGGGGAGGGGCGCCGGGGGGGGGGTGGTGGAGGGTGGGTCATGGGGGTCAGGGTGCGGGAGGTCAATAGGTCAAGAGAGATGTAACCACGTCTGGATACCCTTGCACGTGGCCACCATGCGGTGATTTCATGCTGCTTGGCGCCACTACCCATGCTCCTCTTGGGCTGTGGTCTATGGGTCTCTATGTAACTCTATGGGTCTCTGTGTAAATCTATGGGTCTCTGTGTAACTCTATGGGTCTCTGTGTAACTCTATGGGTCTCTATGGGTCTCTATATAACTCTACGGGTCTCTGTGTAACTCTATGGGTCTCTACGGGTCTCTGTGTAACTCTATGGGTCTCTATGGATCTCTAAATAAATCTACGGGTCTCTATGCAACTCCATGGGTCTCTGTGTAACTCCACGGGTCTCTATGGGTCTCTGTGTAACTCCATGGGTCTCCAGGCAACTCCGTGGGTCTCCATGCAACGCCACGGGTCTCTGTGTAACTCCACGGGTCTCTGTGTAACTCTATGGGTCTCTATGCAACTCCACGGGTCTCTATGCAACTCCACGGGTCTCCATGCAACTCGATGGGTCTCTACGGGTCTCTATGCAACTCCACAGGTCTCCATGCAACTCTACGGGTCTCTACGGGTCTCTATGCAACTCCACGGGTCTCCATGCAACTCTACGGGTCTCTACGGGTCTCCATGCAACTCTACGGGTCTCTACGGGTCTCTGTGCAACTCCATGGGTCTCCATGCAACTCTACGGGTCTCTACGGGTCTCCATGCAACTCCGCGGGTCTCTGTTTGCTGCGCGTGCGTCACCTGCAGGCGGGAGGAGCGCTCCACGAGCTCCAGGCGCTCGCGCTCCGTCTCCACGTGCTTGCCCGTCGCCTCCTGCAGCTGCGTCTCCAGCTTCTTGCGCCGGTGCTCGAGGTCGGAGCGCGCCGCCTGCAGCCCCTTGACCTCGTGCAGCAGTTCCTGCTTCTCCACCTCCAGGCCCTGCTTCGTTTTCTCCAGGGTCACCTTGGCCTAAGGGCGGAGGTCACGGAGGTCAACGGAGGTCAACGGAGGTGGTGGGTGGTGGTGTTGAGTGGTGGGTGGTGGGTGGAGGTGTTGAGTTGTGGGTGGTGGTGTTGAGTGGTGGGTGGAGGTGTTGAGTGGTGGGTGGTGGTGTTGAGTGGTGGATGGTGGTGTTGAGTAGTGGGTGGAGGTGTTGAGTGGTGGGTGGGGGTGTTGAGTGGTGGGTGGTGGTGTTGAGTGGTGGGTGGTGGTGTTGAGTGGTGGGTGGAGGTGTTGAGTGGTGGGTGGAGGTGTTGAGTGGTGGGTGGAGGTGTTGAGTGGTGGGTGGAGGTGTTGAGTGGTGGGTGGAGGTGTTGAGTGGTGGGGGTGGTGGTGGGGTGTGTGAGTGGTAGGTGGAGGTGTTGAGTGGTGGGTGGGGGTGTTGAGTGGTGGGTGGTGGTGTTGAGTGGTGGGTGGTGGTGTTGAGTGGTGGGTGGAGGTGTTGAGTAGTGGGTGGAGGTTTTGAGTGGTGGGTGGAGGTGTTGAGTAGTGGGTGGTGGTGTTGAGTGGTGGGTGGAGGTGTTGAGTGGTGGGTGGAGGTGTTGAGTGGTGGGTGGAGGTGTTGAGTGGTGGGTGGAGGTGTTGAGTGGTGGGTGGTGGGTGGAGGTGTTGAGTGGTGGGTGGTGGTGTTGAGTGGTGGGTGGTGGTGTTGAGTGGTGGGTGGAGGTGTTGAGTGGTGGGTGGAGGTGTTGAGTAGTGGGTGGAGGTGTTGAGTGGTGGGTGGAGGTGTTGAGTGGTGGGTGGAGTGGAGGTGTTGAGTGGTGGGTGGAGGTGTTGAGTGGTGGGTGGAGGTGTTGAGTGGTGGGTGGAGGTGTTGAGTGGTGGGTGGAGGTGTTGAGTGGTGGGTGGTGGTGTTGAGTGGTGGGTGGTGGTGTTGAGTGGTGGGTGGAGGTGTTGAGTGATGGGTGGTGGTGTTGGGTGGTGGGTGGAGGTGTTGAGTGGTGGGTGGTGGTGTTGAGTGGTGGGTGGAGGTGTTGAGTGGTGGGTGGAGGTGTTGAGTGGTGGGTGGAGGTGTTGAGTGGTGGGTGGAGGTGTTGAGTGGTGGGTGGAGGTGTTGAGTGGTGGGTGGAGGTGTTGAGTGGTGGGTGGAGGTGTTGAGTGGTGGGTGGAGGTGTTGAGTGGTGGGTGGTGGTGTTGAGTGGTGGGTGGAGGTGTTGAGTGGTGGGTGGAGGTGTTGAGTAGTGGGTGGAGGTGTTGAGTGGTGGGTGGTGGTGTTGAGTGGTGGGTGGAGGTGTTGAGTGGTGGGTGGAGGTGTTGAGTGGTGGGTGGTGGTGTTGAGCGATGGGTGGTGGTGTTGAGTGGTGGGTGGTGGTGTTGAGTGGTGGGTGGAGGTGTTGAGTGGTGGGTGGTGGTGTTGAGTGGTGGGTGGAGGTGTTGAGTAGTGGGTGGAGGTGTTGAGTGGTGGGTGGTGGTGTTGAGTGGTGGGTGGAGGTGTTGAGTGGTGGGTGGAGGTGTTGAGTGGTGGGTGGTGGTGTTGAGTGGTGGGTGGAGGTGTTGAGTGGTGGGTGGTGGTGTTGAGTGGTGGGTGGAGGTGTTGAGTGGTGGGTGGTGGTGTTGAGTGGTGGGTGGTGGTGTTGAGTGGTGGGTGGTGGTGTTGAGTGGTGGGTGGTGGTGTTGAGTGGTGGGTGGTGGTGTTGAGTGGTGGGTGGAGGTGTTGAGTGGTGGGTGGTGGTGTTGAGTGGTGGGTGGTGGTGTTGAGTGGTGGGTGGTGGTGTTGAGTGGTGGGTGGAGGTGTTGAGTGGTGGGTGGTGGTGTTGAGTGGTGGTGTTGAGTGGTGGGTGGAGGTTTTGAGTGGTGGGTGGTGGTGTTGAGTGATGGGTAGTGGTGTTGAGTGGTGGGTGGTGGTGTTGAGTGGTGGATAGTGGTGTTGAGTGGTGGGTGGAGGTGTTGAGTGGTGGGTGGAGGTGTTGAGTGGTGGGTGGAGGTGTTGAGTGGTGGGTGGAGGTGTTGAGTGGTGGGTGGTGGGTGGAGGTGTTGAGTGGTGGGTGGTGGTGTTGAGTGGTGGGTGGAGGTGTTGAGTGGTGGGTGGTGGAGTTGAGTGGTGGGTGGTGGTGTTGAGTGGTGGGTGGAGGTGTTGAGTGGTGGGTGGAGGTGTTGAGTGGTGGGTGGTGGTGTTGAGTGGTGGGTGGTGGTGTTGAGTGGTGGGTGGTGGAGTTGAGTGGTGGGTGGTGGTGTTGAGTGGTGGGTGGTGGTGTTGAGTGGTGGGTGGTGGAGTTGAGTGGTGGGTGGAGGTGTTGAGTGGTGGGTGGTGGTGTTGAGTGGTGGGTGGTGGAGTTGAGTGGTGGGTGGTGGTGTTGAGTGGTGGGTGGAGGTGTTGAGTGGTGGGTGGAGGTGTTGAGTGGTGGGTGGTGGTGTTGAGTGGTGGGTGGTGGAGTTGAGTGGTGGGTGGTGGAGTTGAGTGGTGGGTGGTGGTGTTGAGTGGTGGAGTTGAGTGGTGGGTGGCGGTAGTGGGTGGTGGTTTTGAGTGATGGGTGGCGGTGTTGAGTTATGAGTGGAGGTGTTGAGTGGTGGGTGGCGGTGTTGGGTGGTGGGTGGTGGTGTTGGGTAGTGGGTGGTTGTGTTGAGTTATGAGTGGAGGTGTTGAGTGGTGGGTGGAGGTGTTGGGTAGTGGGTGGCAGTGTTGAGTGGTAGGTGGTGGTGTTGAGTGGTGGGTGGCGGTAGTGGGTGGTGGTGTTGAGTTATGAGTGGAGGTGTTGAGCGGTGAGTGGCGGTGTTGGGTAGTGGGTGGTGGAGTTGAGTGGTGGGTGGCGGTGTTGGGTAGTGGGTGGTGGAGTTGAGTGGCGGTGGCGCTGACCCTCTTGACGCTCTCCAGCGTCTCGGTCATCTCCTCCAGCGTCTGCGTGTGCTTCTTGCGCATCTCCTGGACTTGCGACTCGTGTGAGCGCACCTCCTCCTCCAGCGCTCGCCGCAGCTCCGCCACCTCGTGCTCTCGCTTAGCCCTGAGCACCGAGAAGAGGGAGGGGGGGCGGCAATCGGAAGGGGGGGCGGATGTGTTACCTAGAATGCCGAGCGTGGTTTTTGGGGATCGGTGACTCGCAGAGACCCATAGACTCACACAGAGACGCATAGACTCGCACAGAGAGCCATAGACTCGCACGGAGAACCATAGACTCACACAGAGAGCCATAGACTCGCACAGAGAGCCATAGACTCACACAGAGACCCATAGACTCGCACGGAGAGCCATAGACTCACACAGAGAGCCATAGACTCACACAGAGAGCCATAGACTCACACAGAGAGCCATAGACTCACACAGAGACCCATAGACTCACACAGAGAACAATAGACTCACACAGAGACCCATAGACTCACACAGAGACCCATAGACTCACACAGAGACCCACAGACTCACACAGAGACCCATAGACTCACACAGAGACCCATAGACTCATACAGAGACCCATAGACTCACACAGAGACCCATAGACTCACACAGAGGCCCATAAACTCGCACAGACCCATAGATTCTATTTAAGCTGTCAAAGCGCTCTTCCCCCTCCATCCCAGCTTAAATAGACGCTCCAAGCCTGGGGTGCGTCATTCAGACGCTGTCTTCTCGACAGACCTGTTCTTCACCTGAGGACGGCTGCTTGCGTTGTGGCCGAAACGTAGTGAGAATTATTTTATTATGTTTTATTTTTATTATTTTATTACTTCCCTTCTACGTGACTTTACCGAAAGAACCAAGAAGATGAATCCCCGCAGTCACGAAATCTTCAAATCGAAATTTTATTTCAACTTATTTTTAACTTAATTTTCATTCTCTACCTACGTGACATCACCCAAAGAACCAAGCATGTGATAATTTCGATGTAAAGCTAGAATTCTACGTGACTTTACCGAAAGAACCAAGAAGATGAATCCCTGTAGTGACGAAAGCTTTAAGGCGTGAGAATTATTTTATTTTATTATATATTTTTAGCTTTCAATATTTTCAATTTATTTATAACTTAATTTAATTTTCATTCTCCACCTACGCGACATCACCCAAACGAACCAAGCACGTGCTAATTCATCTTCTTTGTTCTTTCGGTAAAGTCACTTAGAAGGGTCACGAAAGCTTTAAATCAAAATTTACACGTGCTAATTCCTTCGTTGGCGAACGTTTCAAAGTGGGCGCACGATCGTCGGCCGCGATCACGCGACGGGCAAGCGGATCAGGCGGCGCCACCTGAGCTCTTGTTGTGCGGCGGTGGTGTCCAGGGTGTCCTCCAGCTCCGTCTTGAGCGCCTCCAGCTCCTCGCCCAGGTCCCGTTTGAGCTTCTCCACCTTGGCCCGAGCCGCCCGCTCCGCCTCCAGGTCCTCCTGCAGCTCGGCAAGCTGCGCCTGCAGCTCGCGCACCAACTTGAGCGCGCTCGTCTTCTGCGCTGCCTCGTCGTCACCCCTGGGGGGGGCGGGGGGGGGGCGGGGGTTGGCGGGAGGGTGAGTCGGACGATGGGGTGATGAGGGCGACGATGACGGTGGTGGTGATGATGATGGTGGTGGTGGTGGTGATGACGGTGGTGGTGATGATAGTGATGATGATAGTGGTGGTGATAGCGATGACAATGATGATGATGATGAAGGTGATGGTGGTGATTGTTGTGATGATGGTGATGATGATGATGGTGGTGATGATAGTGATGATAGTGGTGGTGGTGGTGATAGTGATGACGATGGTGGTGGTGGTGGTGATGATAGTGATGGTGGTGATGGTGATAGTGATGGCGATGGTGGTGGTGATATGACGATGATGGTGGTGGTGGTGATAGTGATGGCGATGGTGATGATGGTGGTGGTGGTGAAATGGTGGTAGTGATGATGATCATGGTGATGATGATGGTGATGATCATGATGGTGACGATGTCGATTGTGAAAACTAAACAACACAGCAGACGGTCAAGGGGTTGTAGGTGGAAGTAAGAGACGTGGATCGAACCCACGACCTCCTGCACACCAGGCGAGGTAGTGAACATCTCCTGGGTCACTGCGTACCGGGCGGTGGCCGCCTGCAGCTCGTGTTCCTTCTTGGCGAGCTGCGCTTTGAGGTCCTCGATCTGCCGCAGCAGCTCAGCGATGTGGTCCTGCAGGTCGGAGCCCTCGGCCTCCAGCTTCCGCTTAGACTTCTCCAGCTCCTGCCGAGACTTCTCCTCGTCCTTGAGACGGTCTGCGAGCGCGTCGAGAGAGACGGAGAGAGATGGGGAGAGATGGGGAGAGATGGGGAGATGGGGAGAGAGATGGGGAGAGAGAGATGGGGAGAGAGAGATGGGGAGAGAGAGATGGGGAGAGAGAGATGGGGAGAGAGAGATGGGGAGAGAGAGACACGAGAGATGGGGAGAGAGTGAGAAAGACGTAGAGAGAGAGACACGGAGAGATGGGGAGAGAGTGAGAGAGATGGGGAGATGGGGAGAGAGAGATGGGGAGAGAGAGATGGGGAGAGAGAGATGGGGAGAGAGAGATGGGGAGAGAGAGATGGGGAGAGAGAGATGGGGAGAGAGAGACACGAGAGATGGGGAGAGAGTGAGAAAGACGTAGAGAGAGAGACACGGAGAGATGGGGAGAGAGTGAGAGAGATGGGGAGATGGGGAGAGAGAGATGGGGAGAGAGAGATGGGGAGAGAGAGATGGGGAGAGAGAGACACGAGAGATGGGGAGAGAGTGAGAAAGACGTAGAGAGAGAGACACGGAGAGATGGGGAGAGAGTGAGAGAGATGGGGAGATGGGGAGAGAGAGATGGGGAGAGAGAGATGGGGAGAGAGAGACACGAGAGATGGGGAGATAGTGAGAGAAACGTAGAGAGAGAGAGATGGGGAGAGAGTGAGAGAGAGAGATGGGGAGATGGGGAGAGAGATGGGGAGAGAGAGACACGAGAGATGGGGAGATAGTGAGAGAAACGTAGAGAGAGAGAGAGATGGGGAGAGATGGGGAGAGAGACGTAGAGAGAGAGATGGGGAGAGAGACATGGAGAGATGTGGAGAGAGTGAGAGATACATTGAGAGAGAGATGGGCACAGAGAGAGATGGAGAGAGAGATGGGGAGAGATATGGAGAGAGACACAGAGAGAGAGATGTGGAGATAGAAAAAAAAGATAAAACCGATTGAGAGTTCATCTTGTCGAAGAACCAGGTGGATTTTTCCCTCCACCCCCCCCTCCCCCCGCCCCCCAGGGTGTCATGGCCGCCCCCCAGGGTGTCATGGCCGCCCCCCGAGTGACCGTCCGCGAGGCGCGTGGCGAGCGGGAGGCGCTCACCCTCCATGTCGGCGATGATGGCGTCCTGCTTGGCCTTGGCCTTGCTCAGCGACTTCACCTTCTCCTCCTCCTCCGCCAGGTGCGACGTGAACTCGGCCACACGCTCCTCCAGCTGCTTCTTCTCCTGCGGGCGGCGACGGTGACGACGGTGACGACGGTGAGCGACAATGAGCGATGACGAGCGACTATAGCGTCGTTGTCATCGGCATCGTCAATAGCAACCGTCGTCATTAATGTCGTCATCATCGTCGTCACCAGTGTCATCAGCACCATCGTCAGCAACGTCATCATCGTCGTCATCGGCGTCGTCATCATCGTCGTCATCATTGTCGTCATCATCATCATCATCGTCATCGTCATCGTCGTCGTCTTCAGCGGCAGCAGCTAAGGAGTCATTATCGTCGTCATTGGCGTCGTCATCAATGTCGTCATCGTCGTCATCATCAGTGTGACCCGCACCATCGTCATCAATGTCATCATCGTCGTCATCGTCGTCATCATCGTCGTCATCGTCGTCGTCATCGGCGTCGTCATCGGCGTCGTCATCACCATCGTCAGCAACGTCGTCATCATCGTCGTCGTCATCATCGTCACCAGTGTCACCCGCATCATCGTCGTCATCGTCGTCGTCATCATCATCGTCGTCATCATCATCGTCGTCGTCTTCAGCGGCAGCAGCTAAGGAGTGATCATCGTGAAGGTCATCGCGAGCGCCCCGCTGGCTCCGTGCGTGCCGGGTGAGCGTCGATCCCTGACCTTGCCCAGCTTGCTGTGCTGGTCATCCAGCATGATGAGGTCCTCCTCCATCTTCTTGATCTTGGACTCGGCGGTGACCTTCTCCAGCTGCAGCTTCTGGCGCGCTGTCTCCTCCTCATCCAGCTGGTCCTCGAGGTCCTGTGGGGGGTGACGCGTGGTCGTCGTCGTCGTCGTCATCACAACATCTCATCACCATCACCACCACATCATCAGCATCATCACAAGATCTCATCACCACCACCACCACGATACCATCAATGTCATCACCACCACCACCACAATAGGATCATTGTCATCATCATCATCATCACTACCACAACATCTCATCATCATAATCATCACCACCACCACCACCACCACCACAATAGGATCATTGTCATCATCATCATCACTACCACAACATCTCATCATCATCATTATCATCACCACCACCACCACCACCACATTAGGATCATTGTCATCATCATCACCACCACCATCATCATCACCATCATCATCATCACCACCACCATCATCATCACCATCATCATCATTATCATCATCACCACCACAACATCCCATCATCATCATCGTCATCACAACAAGAGGGTTGGTGTTTGCGTTTCTCCCTTGTGGTGGGACTTTGTAGGATGAACGTCGAAATTCATAAGGGGCACGGGAGTGGGGGGGGGGGGCGGTGGGTGACCAACTAAGATCTGAATCGATCTGTAACAAGGTAGGGACGTGGGTGGGAGGGGGGGGCATCGCTAAGGGGTCTACAGGTGACATATTCTTATTCTTAGGTGTTTTCGGTAAAGTCACGTAGGTAAAACATCAAAATTAATAAAAATAATAAAATAAAATAAAGATCACGACGTTTCGGAGGCAACATATTCATATTCATAAGACATATTCTTAGTTTTTTTTCGGTAAAGTCACGTGGATAAAACATATTATATTATTACATTTTTTTTTCACCTACGTGACTTTACTGAAAAAACCCGAAGAATATGAATCCTTGCGGTCACGAAAGCTTCAAATCTACAATCTCCAGGTGACGTCTGCTGCACCTGCAGGTGCTGCTGCATCTTCTTTTTGTCGAGTGCCAGCGTCTGCGAGCGTTCCTCTTCCTCCTCCACACGTGACTCCAGCTCGTGCAAGATCTCCTCCAGCTCCTGTCGCTTCACCTCGAGACGGACACGCATCTCCTCCGCCTCGGCACACAGCTCGATCTCCGCCTGCAGCTGCTCCGCCAGGATCTGCTTCTCATCCACGAGCTGCGTGGGGTGAAGCGTTGTGTGTGTGTGAGAGTGTGTGTGAGAGTGAGTGTGTGTGTGTGAGAGTGTGTGTGAGAGTGTGAGTGAGTGAGTGTGTGTGTGAGAGAGTGCGAGTGTGTGTGTGAGTGTGTGTGTGAGTGTGTGTGTGAGCGTGTGTGTGAGTGTGAGTGTGTGTGAGTGTGTGTGAGAGTGTGTGTGTGTGAGTGTGTGTGTGTGAGTGTGTGAGAGTGTGAGAGTGTGTGAGAGTGTGTGAGCGTGTGTGCGAGTGTGTGTGAGCGTGTGTGTGAGTGTGTGTATGTGAGTGAGCGCGTGTGTGCACGAGCGCATGTGTGCACGTGTGTGTGAGCGTGTGTGCGAGTGTGTGTGTGTGTGTGAGAGTGTGTGAGCGTGTGTGCGAGTGTGTGTGAGCGTGTTTGTGAGTGTGTGTATGTGTATGTGAGTGAGCGCGTGTGTGCACGAGCGCATGTGTGCACGTGTGTGTGAGCGTGTGTGCGAGTGTGTGTGTGTGAGCGTGTGGGTGAGTGAGTGTGTGTGAGAGTGTGTGTGTGCACGCGTGCGTGTGAGCGCGTGCGTGTGTGCGCGTGTGATTGAGCGTGTGTGTGTGTTTGTGTGAGTGTGTGAGTGAGTGAGTGAGCGTGTGTGTGAGTGAGCGTGTGTGTGTGTGTTTGTATGTGTGAGTGAGCGTGTGTGTGAGTGAGCGCGTGTGTGTGTTTGTATGTGTGAGTGAGCGTGTGTGTATGTTTGTGTGAGTGTGTGAGTGAGCGTGTGTGCGCGTGTGCGCGCGTGTGTGCATGTGTGTGTGCGCGCGTGAGCATGCGTGCAGCGTGGGAGAGACAAGCAGACGGATGTGGGGATAAGTGGACGTAGGAGATGCAGACGGACACACGGATGAGCATAGGATGGATAAGGTGACACACAGACACACACACCCCTGTACACACTCACCTGGCACACACACACACCTGTACACACACACACCTGTACACACACACACTGTACACACACACACCTGGCAAACACACACACCTGGCACACGCACACAACTGGTACACACACACACACCTGGCAAACACACACACCTGGTACACACACACACACACACCTGTACACACACACACCTGGTACACACACACACCTGGTACACACACACACCTGGCACACGCACACACCTGTCAAACACACACACCTGGTACACACACACACCTGGCACACACACACACCTGTACACACACACACACACCTGGCACACACACACACCTGTACACACACACACCTGGCAAACACACACACCTGATACACACACACACACCTGGCACATGCACACACCTGGTACACACACACACCTGGCAAACATACACACCTGGTACACACACACACACACCTGTACACACACACAACACAACAACAACAACCGCCATTCGCCACTAAGTGGCGGTGACGTCACCACGACGCTTGTGCCAGGCCAAGTGCACCTTGAGGCCACGTGAAGTGTCGAACGCCCGCTGACAGGAGGTCACACACACACTTACCTATACACACACACACACACACCTGTACACACACACACTCACCTGTCCGTGCTTGGACTCCAGCTCGTGCAGCATGTACACACACACACACACCTGTACACACACTCACCTGTACACACACATACACCTGTACACACACACACCTGTACACTCACCTGTACACACACACACCTGTACACACACTCACCTGTACACACACACACGCCTGTACACACACACCTGTACACACCTGTACACACCTGTACACACACACACCTGTACACTCACCTGTACACACACACACCTGTACACACACACACCTGTACATACACTCACCTGTACACACACACCTGTACACTCACCTGTACACACACACACACCTGTACACACACACCTGTACACACACACACACACCTGTACACACACACACCTGTCCGTGCTTGGACTCCAGCTCGTGCAGCATGGCCTCTGCCCTCTGCTGCCTCTCTCGCGTCATCTTCAGCTCCTCGTCGCGAGCTTGCAGCTCCTCTTCCTGACGGGTCACCTGCAGGAGCGGCTTCACCTGCACGCACACAGACAAAGGTGCCCCGTGTAGCCTTGCATCGAAGGGGCAAGTGCCGTTCGCAGGTAGCAGCGCCAGGGCCGGATTAAGATTCTAGATTTGAAGCTTTCGTGACTGCGAGGATTTAGGTTTTTTTGGGGTAAAGTCACGTAGGTGAAAATGAAAAATAAAAATAGAAATATTAATAGAAATATTAATGGAAATAAAATACAATAATATAATCCGGATTAAGATGTTGGTTCTTTCGGTAAAGTCACGTAGAAGGGAAATAATAAAATAAGAAAAATATTTTTTATATTAATATTATTTTATTATTTCCCTTCTATATAAAATAATGTAAATATTATTTTATATTTATATAATTTTATTATTTCCCTTCTATATAAAATAATGTAAATATTGTTTAATATTTATATTATTTTATTATTTCCCTTCTATATCAAATAATATAAATATTGTTTAATATTTTATTATTTTATTATTTCCCTTCTACTTGACTTTACCGAAAGAACCAATATTTTTTTTTTTACGAGTCTAACATCAAATACAAAAAAATTCTGCATTCACAAATGAAATCACTTTTCACTTCTAGATTTGAAGCTTTCGTGACTGCAAGTATTCATATTCTTAGGTTTTTTCGGTAAAGTCACGTAGGTAAAAAAATCAAGTAAAATTTTTCTTGATTACAGCAAGCGTGCTGTGACGGTTCCACCTGAAGACGGAAGCTTGTGTTGCCTCCGAAACGTCGTGATTTTTATTTTATTTTTATTTATTAAAATTTTTTACTTGATACAGCAATCGTCCTGTGACGGTTCCACCTGAAGACGGAAGCTTGTGTTGCCTCCGAAACGTCGTGATTTTTATTTAATTTGTATTTATTTTAATTTTTTACTTGATACAGCTATCGTGCTGTGACGGTTCCACCTGAAGACGGAAGCTTGTGTTGCCTCCGAAACGTCGTGATTTTTATTTTATTTTTATTTTACTTTTATTATTTTAGATTTTTTTACCTACGTGACTTTTCACTTCATCTCTCCAGCAGGCCCCTAAAGCCCCCCCGTGTGCCTTAATCCGTCCGCCTTTGTCTCCCCGAGTGGAGGAGCAAGGCTCACGGGGGAGAGGCGGGAACAGGGCTGCGTCCGGCGTGAGCGAGACGCGTCACCACTTTCGTTACCGTTCAAATATTCGGTGAAATTTTAAAGGTGGAGAGGGCTCTTCTTGTTTTTACTCCAGCCGATGTGTGTATTGTGTCGCTTTTGTGTTTGCCATTGAGGGTGGTCCGTGTGTGTGTGTGGGGGTGGGGGGGCAGTCAGAATCAGAATATGTATTTAGACTGCAGGAGGAATCCGATGAGCTATGAAGCTCTTCGTCCAGTCGGTGCACGTGGGTCAGGACGTCACAACAACAAACGGCACAGGAGGGTAGGTGGGTGGGTATGGTGGGGAGGCTGGGGTGGTAGGGGGGGGTAGTAGGGGGGGTGGTGAGGGGGGTGGGGGGGTGTGTTGTGTGTGGCTGTGGTGGTGGGGGGGTGGTGGGGGGGGTGTGCTGTGGTGTGTTGGAGGTGGCTGGGGTGGTGGGGGGGGTGTGTGGTGGGGGTGGGTGGTGGGGGGGGTGTTGTGGGTGGCTGGGGTGGTGGGGGGTGGTGGGGGGGGGTGTTTGGGGTGGCTGGGGTGGTGTGGTGGGGTGTGACGTTGTGTTGGTGTGGTGTCACGTGGTGTGGTGTCACGTGGTGTGACGTGGGGTGGTGTCACGTGGTGTGACGTGGTGTGACTTGGGCTGGTGTCACGTGGTGTGCTGTCACGTGGTGTGGTGTTGGTGTTGGTGACGATGTGGGTGGCACACCTTGGTGAAGAGACGCCACCACTGCCAGTTTCGCAGTTTCAGGTAGGCGGCGCAGTTGCGCTGCAGGATCTTCAGGGCGCTCATCTGCTGCATCTTGCGAGCGTGCGCCCTGCACGGCACCCGCACGCCGCAGTCTCGAGGAATCCGATAAGCTACTAAGCTCTTCGGTTTTTCTTACACCCCCCCCGCTCCCCTTAGTAGTTTCACAGACGTCCGGTCGCGCCCGCTGTACATGCGTGTGTACACACACACGTGTACACACACACGCGTACGCACACACATGTTCACTCACACACACTCACACACACACTCATACACACACGCTCACACACACACTCACACACACTCGCACTCCCACTCATACACACGCACACACACTCACACACACACGCGCACACACACTCACACACACTCACACACACACTCACACACACACTCATACACACACTCACACACACACTCACACACACACACTCACACACTCACACACACACTCACACACACACTCATACACACACGCTCACACACACACTCACACACACTCGCACTCACACTCATACACACACACACGCGCACACACACTCACACACACACGCGCACACACACTCACACACACTCACACACACACTCACACACACACTCATACACACACTCATACACACACACTCACACACTCACACACACATGCGTGTACACACATGAACACGTGTGCGTGGGGAGCGGTGGTGCAGTGGTTAGCGCTACGCTGCGCTACGAACCCGGCGACCCGGGTTCGATTCCCGCTCACGGCCAACACCGGTGGCGATTATCTGAACCGGTCCCTGGGCTTCCCCTAGGTCGATTCAGCCTCAAATTAGTACCTGGGTGCGGTGTGTAGTAAACATCGCTAGCACCGGGGAGACAAAGGCGGCCGGGCGTGGTGCTGGCCACCCACCCCCTCGTGTGCCGTGCCGGCCTTCATAGGTGCTCGCTAACAGCACTTGCCCCTACAGTCCGCTAAGGCTTCAAGGGGGAGCTTTGTCTTTGTTGCGTATCTGTGCGTGTGTGGTGCTGTTGTTGTAGTTGTTGTTGTTGTAGTTGTTGCTGCACGTGTGTTGTTGTAGTTGTTGTTGCTGCTGCGTGTGGTGCTGTTGTTGTAGTTGTTTTAGTTGTTGCTGCGCATGTGGTGTTGTAGTTGTTGTTGTTGTTGCTGCAGGTGTGTTGTTGTAGTTGTTGTAGTTGTTGTTGTAGTTGTTGTAGTTGTAGTTGTTGCTGCGCGCGTCTGTGCGTCGTGCCAGCCTTCACAGCTCCTCGCTGACAGCACTTGCCCCCACAGTCCGCTAAGGCTTCCCGGGGGACCTTTGTCTTTGTTGCGAGCGAGCGAGTGGGCGCGTACTTGCGTGAGAGATATCCCCGGCAGAGCGACTGGAAGGCGATGATGATGTCGGTGATCTTGAGGTCGCGCTCCTCCTCCAGGTGGGCGAGCACTCCCGTGCGGAAGAACACTTTGCTCTGGCCGATGCGGAACAAGTTCGAATCCAGCTCCAGGGATTTGATCTGAGACGCGGGGAGGTAGTGGGGAGGGTGACAGAGACAGAGACACAGAGAAAGGAACAGAGAGGCAGGAACAGAGAGAGAGAGAGACAGAGAGGCAGGAACAGAGAGAGAGAGAGACAGAGAGACAGGAACAGAGAGACAGAGAGAGAGAGAGAGACAGAGACAGAGAGACACAGAGAGAGAGACAGAGAGACGGAGAGACAGAGACAGAGAGAGAGAGAGACAGAGAGAGAGACAGAGAGACAGAGAGACAGAGCGACAGGAACAGAGAGACAGGAACAGAGAGACACAGAGACAGAGAGACACAGAGACAGAGAGACACAGAGATAGAGAGACAGAGACACAGAGACACACAGAGAGAGACAGACAAAGAGAGAGAGAGACAGAGACACAGAGAGAGAAAGACACAGAGAGAGAGAGACAGAGAGAGAGACACACAGAGAGAGAAAGACAGAGAGACGGAGAGACAGAGAGACGGAGAGACAGAGAGACAGGAACAGAGAGACAGGAACAGAGAGACAGAGAGACAGAGAGACACAGAGACAGAGAGACAGAGAGACAGAGAGACGGAGCGATTAGGAGAGATGATGGGGGTGTGTGGGTCATGGAATCGCAATCGACATCATCGTCGGATTGTAAGATGCGGGGTAACATTACTGCCCTTGGATTCATCATCATCATCATCACCATCATCACCACCACTATCATCACCACTACCATCATCACCATCATCATCACCATCATCATCATCACCACCAACATCATCACCATCATCACCATCATCATCACCACCATCATCATCATCATCACCACCAACATCATCATCACCAACATCATCATCATCAATCATCATCACCACCACCAACACCATCACCAACACCAACACCATCACCAACACCATCACCAACACCACCACCATCACCACCACCACCACCATCGTCATCACCATCACCGACACCATCGTCGTCACCGTGACTACCATCGCCACGTGCCGTCACCGTGACCACCATCTCTAGTAGCCATCGCCACTCGTCACCACCACGGCCGGCGTCATCTCCCCGTGACCCATCAACCCCTCCACCCCTCTCGCCGTACCATGAGGTCGCACGCCTGCTTGCCGTCCATGAAACCCTTGGGGATGGCGTGAGGGGTCAGGATCTCGTACCTGGAAAGCAGCGGCAACATTGACACACAGGGGCGGTGACCCAACCATCATTTAGATCGGAGTTTACACTCTTCGTTGTTTATTCCCACACTACGCTATACACTACACTATACACTACACTATACACTACTATACACTACACTATACACTACACTATACACGACACTATACACTACACTATACACTAAACTATACACTACACTACACTATACACTACACTATACACTACTATACACTACACTATACACTACACTATACACTACACTATATACTACACTATACACTACACTATACACTACTATACACTACACTATACACTACACTATACACTACTATACACTACACTATACACTACGCTATACACTACACTATACACGACACTATACACGACACTATACACTACACTATACACTACACACTACACTATACACTACACTATACACTACGCTATACACTACACTATACACTACACTATACACGACACTATACACTACACTATACACTACACACTACACTATACACTACACCATACACTACACTACACTATACACTACACTACACTATACACTACACTACTATACACTACACGATACACTACACTACTATACACTACACGATACACTACACTACTAAACACTACACTATACACTACACTATACACTACACTATACACTACACTACTATACACTACACGATACACTACACTACTATACACTACACGATACACTACACTACTAAAAACTATACTATACACTACACACCACTCTATACACTACACTATACACTACCCACGACCTCCTGTAAACCAGGCGAGGTAGTTAACATCTCCTAGCCACCGTGATGATGATGAGAGAGAGAGACACGCAAACTCCAAATATACAGCAGCAGGCGTCAGGGTCGGGATCGAACCCACGACCTCCTGTACACCAGGCGAGGTAGTTAACATCTCCTAGCCACCGTGATGATGATGAGAGAGAGAGAGACACAAACTCCAAATATACAGCAGCAGGCATCACAGGGTCGGGATCGAACCCACGACCTCCTGTACACCAGGCGAGGTAGTTAACATCTCCTAGCCACCGTGATGATGATGAGAGAGAGAGAGACACAAACTCCAAATATACAGCAGCAGGCATCACAGGGTCGGGATCGAACCCACGACCTCCTGCACACCAGGCGAGGCAGTAAACATCTCCTAGCACACCATGGGACCCCTATTGCCCAAGCTCTGCACTCCTCTACATATCAAGCCGTTAATGGTCAATTACGCGCGGTTGGGGAACCACTGAGCACCCGTAGAGAACGCACGCGTGCGAGGGGGCAACGCTCTATCCCCGGCCTCACCGCTGCCGGAACTCCTGGAAGACCACGCGGTTGGGGAACCCCTGAGCACCCGTAGTGAACGCACACGTGCGAGGGGGCAACGCTCTATCCCCGGCCTCACCGCTGCCGGAACTCCTGGAAGACCACGGGGTTTGGGGAAGCCCTGAGCACCCGTAGTGAACGCACGCGTGCGAGGGGGCAACGCTCTATCCCCGCCCTCACCGCTGCCGGAACTCCTGGAAAACCACGGGGTTTGGGGAAACCCTGAGCACCCGTAGTGAACGCACACGTGCGAGGGGGCAACGCTCTATCCCCGGCCTCACCGCTGCCGGAACTCCTGGAAGACCACGGGGTTTGGGGAAACCCTGAGCACCCGTAGTGAACGCACACGTGCGAGGGGGCAACGCTCTATCGCCGCCCTCACCGCTGCCGGAACTCCTGGAAGACCACGCGGTTGGGGAAGCCCTGAGCACCCGTAGAGAACGCACACGTGCGAGGGGGCAACGCTCTATCCCCGGCCTCACCGCTGCCGGAACTCCTGGAAGACCACGGGGTTTGGGGAAACCCTGAGCACCCGTAGTGAACGCACACGTGCGAGGGGGCAACGCTCTATCGCCGCCCTCACCGCTGCCGGAACTCCTGGAAGACCACGCGGTTGCGGAACCACCGACCACCCGTAGAGAACGCACACGTGCGAGGGGGCAACGCTCTATCCCCGCCCTCACCGCTGCCGGAACTCCTGGAAGACCACGCGGTTGGGGAAGCCCTGAGCACCCGTAGAGAACGCACACGTGCGAGGGGGCAACGCTCTATCCCCGGCCTCACCGCTGCCGGAACTCCTGGAAGACCACGGGGTTTGGGGAAACCCTGAGCACCCGTAGTGAACGCACACGTGCGAGGGGGCAACGCTCTATCGCCGCCCTCACCGCTGCCGGAACTCCTGGAAGACCACGCGGTTGCGGAACCACCGAGCACCCGTAGAGAACGCACACGTGCGAGGGGGCAACGCTCTATCCCCGGCCTCACCGCTGCCGGAACTCCTGGAAGACCACGCAGTTGCGGAACCCCTGAGCACCCATAGAGAACGCACGCGTGCGAGGGGGCAACGCTCTATCCCCGCCCTCACCGCTGCCGGAACTCCTGGAAGACCACGCGGTTGGGGAAGCCCTGAGCACCCGTAGAGAACGCACACGTGCGAGGGGGCAACGCTCTATCCCCGGCCTCACCGCTGCCGGAACTCCTGGAAGACCACGGGGTTTGGGGAAACCCTGAGCACCCGTAGTGAACGCACACGTGCGAGGGGGCAACGCTCTATCGCCGCCCTCACCGCTGCCGGAACTCCTGGAAGACCACGCGGTTGGGGAACCCCTGGCGGCAGATGCGGATCCCTTCCAGGACCCCGTTGCAGCGCAGCTGCTCCAGCACCAGGTGGCTCTCCAACTTGCCAGACTAGAGGGGGGGGGGGGGGTAGCGGGGGGGATAGAGGGAGGGGGTAGCGGGGGGGATAGAGGGGGTAGGGAATAGAGGGGGTTGGCTACGTATGGCGCGAAAGAAGTTCAACGTACACACACCCACGTGACCCACACCCGCGTGACACACACACACCCACGTGACCCACACCCACGTGACCCACACCCGCGTGACCCACACCCACGTGACCCACACACACACGTGACCCACACCCCCGTGACCCTCACCCACGTGACCCTCACCTGTGTGACCCACACACACCCACGTGACCCACACACCCGTGACCTACACCCACGTGACCCACACACCCACGTGACCCACACTCACATGACACACACACACGTGACACACACACCCGCGACCCACACTCACATGACCCACACACACCCACGTGACCCACCCACACACAGCCACGTGACCCACGCACGACACGTCACCGAGACACGCACGTAACCCCCCCCCGCCCCCCACCCCCCCCCCAGCCCCCCACACCCCCGCCCCCCCCCCACCTTCTTCTCGTGGTTGGGGATGATGCAGCGCACGAAGTTGGGGTTGGTGCTTCGCAGCGTGGCCATCAGCTTGCCCAGCTGCTCCTTGTACAGCTGCCCCACCGTGCGGAACATGCCCTTCTTGGTCTTGGACGCGGCGCCGCCAAAGCCGGAGTCGCCCCCCAGGTTCGCCGCCTGGTTCAGCCCCACAATGCGGTCAACTGGTGGTGGGAGGACGGGGGGGGGGGGGCAGAGAGGGGGGGGCAGAAGGGGGGGGGCAGAGGGGGGGGGGAGGTTGGTGGCATGGGAAAATCATGGGTGAGGTATTAGAGGTTGTGGAAGGAAATCATTTGAAGTGGGGGGCAGGTGGGTGGAGAGGGGGGGGAATTTCACGGTCGAGGTTTCGGAGGCGGTGGAAGGAAATCATTTGAAGTGGGGGGCAGGTGTCAGAGGCGGTGGAAGAAAATCATTTGAAGTGGGGGGCAGGTGGGTGGAGAGGGGGGGATTGTCACGGGCGAGGCGTCAGAGGCGGTGGAAGAAAACCACTTGAAGTGGGGGGCAGGTGTCAGAGGAGGTGGAAGAAAACCACTTGAAGTGGGGGGCAGGTGTCAGAGGAGGTGGAAGAAAACCACTTGAAGTGGGGGGCAGGTGGGTGGAGTGGGGGGGGGGGGGGATTTCACGGGCGAGGCGTCAGAGGCGGTGGAAGAAAACCACTTGAAGTGGGGGGCAGGTGTCAGAGGCGGTGGAAGAAAATCATTTGAAGTGGGGGGCAGGTGGGTGGAGTGGGGGGGGGGGATTTCACGGGCGAGGCGTCAGAGGCGTTGGAAGAAAATCATTTGAAGTGGG